GAGGGGTTACGTAAATTTTGAAAGCATAGATATTGACAATACATAAACACTTTGTGTGGTTGAGTTAATGATATAGCAATGACCTCAGAAGTTTACAATTACGATAAAATGAGGGTTTTCAAATCTGACAAGTCAGCAAAAAATGTCAATGTCTTGAAATTTACATTGACCTTACGACAACAAAGAATGAGGAGGGGAGGGGGGCAACCTGCAGCCGCATAGACAGGGAAATTTACTAAAGCAGAAAAAAACAGGGGGCAACATTGTATCCTTTTCAGTATCTTCTAAACGAACACATATAGGGTACATTGCTAACTCCGATATTTAAGACGAAATCACAGGAGTTCGCGTACCTATGAATTTTGCCGAAATTTTCGGTAAATAAAAAGACACGTAATACATATATAATTACACTTTTTTTATTTAATGAAAATGTCGGTATAATTGATAGGTACGCGATCTCCTGTGACGAAATAGAAGTGTAGAATAAGATCTTTAAATAAAATCTAACGAACTTGTGCGTTTGCACATGCCAAGGGGTATCGCATTGAGTCATTGCAATTGAGAAACAGTACTTGAATTGAGTCTGTGGTCATGTTGCAAAAATAGAACCTGCTTAGCTCTGCAAAGCGACTTGTTTCCTTTTCCAAGAAAGTCTATAATAAAGCTTTTAAATCGTTCAGGTAGAGATAATCTATTAATTTTTAGAAGATTTGACTGGGATTCTTCTATAAAAATTGGGTTTAACAGAGTCCAAGGTCGATCGAAAAAATGGTTTGCTAGAGTGCAACTGATGAGATTCGCAAGTCCTAGCTACTTCAGAATTGACCCCAAGGCAGATGAATATCATTTCCGCTGTCAGTTTCCTATATAGACTAAAAATCAAGATAATTTTTTAGAAGCAATCTTTTTTTAAATCTTGTAAAAAATGTGCAAATGAATAAAAATTGAATATTGTAAACTTTTTTTTTTTAATTATTTCTAAATTATACACTGTAGCATGCTTTTACCCCCAAACGAACAGAAGGAATTCGTAGTACATGTATTTTTATTTAGTACTCTTTTAAAAATTTTGATATAACATTTTTTATCATATACAATTATGGTTTTTCCCTCAACAAAATTGACTATTATCCTTAATTTTGGTTTGCAGAAACGTGTATTACCGGTATTTATGTGAGAACTGAATTGCAAAAAGGTATTCACTAGAAGAAAAACCTCGTGAAACTAACTAGTGAACATCGTAAATCCTTTGTCGTGAATTGAAAGCTTTCAGTTAAGAAAGTGATTTGTGGAGCTAGGGTCGAATTAATACTCAGATACCGGCCTAGTGAAAGTTGCTTATAATTTCTATATTCACTAATCTTATCTTACTAGTGAATATACCCAATACATGTACCTAGTTAAACTACTTTTATAGTAGTAACTATATGGACAGTAAAATTTACTAGTTTTCTCAGTGACTTTAACTACTAATTTTTTCTGTGTTTTGTTTGCGCATTTTAAACTTGCAAATCCATGCATAAAAATGCACGAATTATTTAAAATATTTTTTTTTACTTTTAACTTTCATTAATTGGTAGTTGTTTTGAAATTCTTAAGCTTTTATTTCAGCAAAAACTGCAGTCAAATTTAATCATTATAATATATAAATTTCAATTAAGAAAGTGAAAAGACGTCTCAAACTTTATGACGTCGCCAGGGACATATATGTCCCTCCCGCAGCCAGAGGGTTAAACGGGTTACTAAATCCTTCAACTCCGTGCGAAGGAATAATAAGGATGGTTGCAGAAAGGTAGCATTTAGGAAATAACGAGTAGGTCCTAATTTTTATACATATATTTATAAAATTTGCTGTATTTTTCTGGTAATCCAACATTGAATTTAGCAATGAATCATTTTTTTAAAAAAGATATAGTATCATAAGTGCAACGGTGTGTGCAAACAAATTGAGTAAAGCGTGTTAGCGCTTTATGAAAATGTGTTTGCACATACCGTTGCAAATATGATACTATATCTTTCAAAAAATAATGATTCATTGCTTATATTTACATTTTTTTAACTTTCTATATCAATTGCAAATGTGATTTCTATTGAAAAACCTATGTATTATCCTTAGTGTAAGCTACAGTAAATGGATCAGCCAACGTAACAGCTTCTGGTCAATTTGAGCGTGATTTCCTCTTTATTTTGGCTTGTGACGTTGCACTTTCTCGGCGTTCAACGATTATGACGTCAAACTAAAACGCATGCTTTAACCTCTTGGCACCCTGTCTGTGTTATGGTGTTTTGAATGAAATAGAACTCCATTCACTTTATATGCAAAAAACATATGTATTGTAAATATATTGACATTTTTCCATTTCCAATTGTTTTCTCTATGATAAACACTACAAAAGTGAATCTTGTTAATTTCATGGTAATACACTGTGGTATGTATATTTCTCTATTACTGAAAGGTCAGGTGTCAACCTTCATGTATATCACTGGCGTATAAATACACTAAAAAAGATGTTTTGTTTCATTGTTTACTAAGTAATTTGATATGATATATCTTTTTAACAAACAAAATAAATAATGAATTATCTTCGGCTCTAAAGTATTTCACTAGCGCAACGCTGTCCACTATCACCGAGGCCTCGCGAGACCGAGAAATCCATTTCCTGGTAAACACCCACTTGGCGAAATTGACATTGTCACATGGATCTGCACGTACTCCATCATCTAATACAGACATCGTCCCTCAGTCATAACCATCCGACTTCTTAAGCAACTCAACTTCTTCTGTTATTTTAACATCCAAACAAATCGGTTTCCTGACCATGCTGACCAACTCCCGTTTCATCAATTGCAACATTGCATTCAATATGGCGGCGGAGAAGTGACATAGTGCCTATATATATTCGTGCTTCCGACAACCTAAATCTAGGTCACATATATAATTAAAGTTAACAAGATTACTTTGATTATAATTTAAAATTCTTTTGTTGTTTATTTTATAAATGTTGATTCCTTTTTAAATAATTGAATACCATGGCCATTTTCATATATATTCACGCCTTAACAGTTGAAAATATACATGAAGGTAGGTGCGCTTATGTGACGTCACAATGAAGCTACAGAGACATTAGAAAAATAAAACGAAAATGGCAGCGAGTAATTCAAATATTGAGTATATTTTTAATGTTTTATCCCTTTTTGATGTTTTACCCGTTTACGTCCGTCGTCGTGCGTCGTCCTTCGTGTGTAAACGTAGGAATATTCTCAGCTTCTCCTCTCAAACCGCTTAACCAATTTAAACCAATTTTGGAACAAAGCATTAATGGGTGAAGGGGTACAAAAATTGTGAATTTCATGGTCCCTGTATCCCCGGGGGCCTTAGGGGCGGGGCCAAAACCACTAATATTAATCCAATATCTAAAGATCTTCTTCTTTACTCCTGGGCATCAAGCAGTCAAACTGTTAGCATGATTATATAATCAGCATTGAGTCCTCTGCCAGATTGTGAATTTCATGGCCCAGGCTCTGGGGTTCTAGTGCTAGGTCAGGGCTATATAGATTATATGGTGAAAATGCATTATTTCTTTAAAAATCTTCTTCTCTGCTCCTGGGCAAATAATAGACTAACCAAGTACATTGTATATTGAATATGGCTGCCTCTTCTAAAATTATGAAATTCATGGCACCAGAGTCAGGGGTTCTGGTGTTAGATTTGGACTCGATTGATTATATAGTGAAAATGCATCAATTATTTCAAAATGTTCTCTTTGCTCAGAAACCATTACGATACTTTCTCTAGAAATACTGTTAATTCCCAAATAATTCCAATCTTCATTTTATTTATTGATTAACTGTGTTTTGATTGGACGAGAACACGTTTAAGAAAAAGTTTACACATCGATGAATTTTTCAATCAGAACTACTTTTTTGACGAAGCTTCTGGGCTATCGTATAAACAATGAAAGCAGTTATTTCTGGTCTTTTTAGCTAAATATTGAATACAAGAAACTTCAATTTTAATTAAATAAAATAAAACTGGCGACAAACAGGACTGAGAGACGGGAATATTATGTTTATGTCACTGTCGGATCACTAGTGTGAATTTTAAAAAATCGCTGATCATGCTGTCATTTTCTCGACGTTCCATCCTATAGGGAAAAGAAACGTACCTCAGACTCTTGCCTTATCAGCATCAATTCATATATTCCCCTACATCCTTCAGATCCCATATTCTCCATAAATCTTTGAACGAACCAGAGCAAATCGAGGACGTCGTCGGTCTGCTACATTCACTATAGGCGTTGTCGTTAGTCAACATTGGCATTGGCCATGGTCAACTACGAATTGTTCTGGAGAATACGCGTATTTACGATATTTGTTGACTTAAACAACATTCAGTGAGTTTTTATAAGTTTATTTATTGATTGTTTTGACAATTTAAGTTGGATTTTATCGATATTTTTTTCGATATTCATCTTGTATTCGTTTCTTTGCGGCATGAAGTATTCCTACGCCGTACAAAATAACGGATTCTATGGCGGCCTCTAAGTGAAATAATTTTAATAATTTTAAAAATTCGTAATTGGAATTATAAGAATTAAACGTTCTTTTTTCAGAATTTATCGATGTGTAAACTCTGCCATTTTACTCACAAACTTTACATAAAAGTGCTTCGCACTTATTCAGTTTGTGAGTAAAATGGCAGAGTTTACACATCGATAAATTCTGAAAAAACAACGTTCAATCCTATAATATACGCGAAGAACTAATTATCGCTTTATTTCGCGATAAGCACGGTTTTATTTTTTTTATTGGTGCTGAAATCAATGTAAAATCTCTTGATCAATCATCTTTTCACGAATTTAATGTTCCTGTGATTCGACAGTAAATTGCCATTACGCGATAATAAGTACTCGCAAAAAGGAATCTACAGTAGCAATTATAATTTTAACATTTTCCTGCTTCGACTATTATTATTTAGATAAATATTAAATTTGTAGGTCTTTTGGGCGGATAAATTTTCAACAATATTGACTCTTGATGAAAAGCGAGTCATTGATGACGAGAGAATGGAAATTTATAGACCTTATACCTCAGATTGGAATCTATTAATTCGGGACGTCAAAGTAGAAGATAGCGGGTGCTATACTTGTCGAATCAACACCATTCAAGTAGTTAAAACTAAGCCCGTGGAGCTTAACGTTTTAGGTAGGTTTTATATATTTATTTTATCAGCACTTCTTTATTTACCACATATCTTAAAGACACAGTAAATAAAGTTAAAAATAAAATAAGTTATCCTAATGATCACGGCCGCCCAAAGACAGTGCTAGCAAATGAAAATAAAAAATAAAAATAGCAAATGATATTCTTAATTTTCAAAATGCAACAGTGGCATTCTTTAGATCACTATTAGTCAATGTCATTATTTTTGATTTGTAAACTTAATCAAATTATACTTTTAACTTTAATACAACATTAACAAAAATATGAGATTCTAAAAAGCTTAAACTCTATTCAAAAATCTACAAAGACTATGTATTACGGGGTGCTCTTGTAGGCTCCTCGCAAAATACATGTACATCACCAGAAAAACCAGTATAATCAAGTATAAAGCCGAGCACTGACACGTCCACTGCTGAATCTTTACCAATGTCGAAAGTCAATCAAGAAATTGGTTTGAAAATTAATTACTTGCCCATGAAGTTTTTGAGTGTTTAGAAACCTTCAGCTTCCTTTCTGTTCTACTTTTTATTTCATATAAAACTTGATATTATATTTTTTAGTCAATTGAAAACTTTTTGTGAAAATTACCTTGACTTTAGTAATAGAAAAGAGAATCAATTTTTGTTCAGTCGCTTTTAATTACGTATTACTCTTTATTTCTTATTTATTTGTCTTCTGTATATTAATGTAATAATAATAATAATACTTTATTTATAGAAGGAAACCCGATTAGTGCAAGCACTAGTCTTCCTCGGGGCCATCTTTATTACACATATACAATATATATACACAATAAATACAAATCACAATAAGGAGACAATAAAAACTGGACAGTACATGCATGTTACCAAATAAATAAATAAATAAAACATCAACATTTCAGCATAGAGAGAGAGAGAAAAAAAAGAAAAATCACATAGAACCATTGCGCTTCACAAGCAGAAAATTTTCAACACATTTTTAAAACATTGTAAGGGATTGGGAATTCCTGTTACTTATTGGTAGCTCATTCCAGATTATAACTCATTGTTTGGTGACTTGTAACATTTTCCATGGGAAGTATTCTTCTCTCAGCATAAAACTTCATTAAATCTCTCTTATGCAGTCCCTCCACGAATTCTAAACAAAAATGAAATCTGGAAAAAGAAAGAGATCTTAACAAAAGTAGGAGAGACTGTCAACATAACCTGCATCGTCTCGGGAATTCCCACGCCGAGAGTGAAGTGGTACAGGCACCCTTTAAAAAACACAGTGGAAGGTGAAAAATATATAATTAAATCCAGCAATAATCTGAGTTGTATTTAGCTCACCTGAGCCAAAGACTCAAGTGAGCTTTTCTGATCAAAGAGAGTTCAGCGTCCGTCTTCGTCTATCGTCTGTAAACTTATCACATATTGGACTTCTTCTCAAGAATCACTGGGCCAGTTTCAACCAAATTTGCCAAAAAGCTTCCTTGGGTGGAGGAGTTCGTTTCCGGGATGTGTCATACCCTCTTGCAAAGGAGGTAATCAAGAATTTGTTAAACTTTGTGATACCTTCATTACATACTATAGATTCAAGTTTGTTCACATCGTAACCTTGGAGGGTATATATTTAGGGCCACAAGAGAGTGTCGAAGTTTTACATAAGATTACATAGGATATACACGTCTTTAAAAATCTTCTCGAGAACAGCCGAGCCATGATTAGTCATATGAAAATAAAATTTTTCAGGTAGTGTAGATTCATGTTTGTTCCAATCATGTCACATAGGGATAGGGCAGGACCACAACAGATGGTCTGTTATTTATCTTTTCTTAATAAACGTTACATGGTGTCAGAAATACAGATGTGCACCATTTATTTTGGTGAATGCTGTCCCTCCTTTTTCAGCATGTATAACGGAGATGGGGCAAAATCAGGTAAAGAGTGTTGTAGTGGATCCACAGAGAGTGTATGTCCCAACGAGTATTCCTATTCCTGCGACATCCGAGGTACTAGTAACTTGTGTACAAATTGACGCCATTTTAAAATTTAAATAAATTGTCGGTTTATGATGGTCTTATGTTTTGTAAACGATGAAGATCAGAAAGATATCAAAGTACTGCAAGTACCAGAGTGCATTTGCATAGGTCAGACAAATGTGACATACGAGCAAGAGATGAATGAAACAATTGACAGCTATTTTGTTACATGTGAAAACCTGTAGATTCGGTGGACTGGAAGAAGAAATGATTCGAGATGGGATTGTTCTCGGGATAAGGGACAATCACTCGAGAAAGAAACTGTTACAAGAGAAAGGCGTTGTATTGACATTTGTAGAGCCACTGAGAAGTCAAGTTCACAACTTCGAGTGACAGAAAAAGTGCAGTTTGTAAAAAAAAAACTAAACCATTGTCAGACAAACTGAAGAAAGGTCCTAGAGACAAACAATAAGTAAGTTGTGAGTACTGTGGTTTACGACAACGTAAGAATAAAGCAGATTGTCCGGTTTATGGCAAAGAGTGTTCATCATGCGGACGAAACAATCACTTTGCACGTGTGTGTAAACAAGGGAATACTAAGCAGCGACCTGACAGAAAGCCACATACAATTTTCTTTAGGTTGTATATTGTTGATTTTAGATATTATACATACCCTGTAGCTGTCTAGTGTACCCATACGAAAATGTGTAGTTGACCGTCAACTAACCGTCAACTAGTCGTCAACTGTTAATGCGAAAACAGTTGACCACTCGGAGTTGAATGCTTTTCTGAAAAGTGATCAACTGATTTGCATAAAACGGCCAGTTGACCATTAGTTGAACGCTGATACTTTGAAATTTAATGCAGAACAAGAGTTGACCATTAGTTGAACACTCCGACTTGTTAGAAAATTTCTCCCACGCTAAATTTATGTTGGGTTCAAAATTACATTATCAGAGATCGGGTTTGTTATACCATAATTACAACAACCAAGATTTGAATCAGTACATGTGTGTTTATTGTAGAAGATGGGAATTTTGATTTGAAATATTATTGTCTTCGTGATGATTCAGCGTGTGAAATACCTCATGTACTATTGTAAGTATATAAAATTTAAAGATTTGTTTTTACTAAGCTTGTTATTTTTAAACAGATAATAGGAATGCAAAAAAATGTAGCCAGTATAGGTCCCTATTTTTGTTTACTTTTTTAAATATTTAAAGAATTCTGAAAACCTGTTATGCATCAAGTGTCTTGTTGTGTTTTTTGTGTGGGTAAAAATATACAATTGCTTTAGACTAATTCTATATATAACCTTTTCTGCCCAGAAAATGAAGAAGAAATGTAACAACTTATGAGAGTGTGCCAGCTCAATTCATTTATAATGCATTTAGATTTACAAGAAACTCCATTGGTTTGACTTTTCATATTTTCAAGAACACTGCTTGTCTTAGATTTCAAATCTCCCTCCATTTTTTTTCAAATATTTAATGAAAGCAACCTATGTGCACTGACTAATGGAGTATTCAACTAGCGGTCAACTGCAAAGGAAATAGTGGAGTATTCAACTAGCGGTCAATTGCAAAGGAAATAGACTAGTATTCATCTAGCGGTCAACTACAAAAAAATAGTGGAGTATTCAACTAGCGGCCAACTGTAAAGGAAATAGAGGAGTATTCAACTAGCGGTCAACTGCAAAGAATATATAGGAGCATTCAACAGTTGTCCACTCTATGCAAATGAGTTGATCGCTCCCTCATTTGCATGGCAAAAATTCAACTAATGGTCAATTGACGGTCAGTTGACCGTCAACTAGTAGTCAACTGAATACCCCGATTGAATTTTAATAGTATATTTAGCCGGGCTTATTGCTCAAAGAGCAATTCAATGTTCAAGGCAGGATGTTGACCCCATAGTCGCCATTTTAAAGTTACGTGCAAAAATATAGTTCTATACTCTCAACCGCTTTTGAGATAATACAAACGCTAAATAAAGCAACAAAAATAAAAAGTTGTATATATATAAATAAACATGAGTAGTAATGACTTTGAAAACTTCAGTCCGAAGTCAAAGAACATAGTTCATTAGCGTAAGGATTTTTGATAATCAGTGTTATCGTAGTTCTCTACGCATAAGAGGTAAAGCAGGAGAGGGAACCAGGCTGGCTTGTTTGTTTACATTCAGCTGCGGTACCAGATTAATTCTGATTCTGACAAAATCGGACTGTGGTATTAGGATTGAAAAACTCACTGTCAGTGTCTTATCTTTTATATTGATAGTTTTAAAATAATTTTTTCATCCGAATATAAACGTGATTCGTGTAAGAAATTCATTCTACTCTGTAAATGAGGCCGGCTCTCTGTACTTCTGAGTACTTTGATTTCATATGGATATGCAGCTTATATGCTGTTGTAAATTACCCATTCCCACTGAATGGTCCCTTGTTTACGAAACATGACCAGACTTAAAAAGTCGATTAGAAACTTGTTAAGCTAATATGAGAAGCTTGATGTGTGCAAATCTACTAAAATTGAACCAGGATAAAACTGAGTTTATTGTTTTTACACCAAAGAGTCAGCTTAAAAGATCTTTTACACACTAACTTGATGTTATAGTTCTGTCATCTGTGAATCAGATTGTGTGAAGAATTTGGGAGTGTTTTTCAACAAATCACTTACCATGGAGAATCAGATTTGCGCAGTTTCCATATTCTGTTTTTACCACCTACGAAATATTAGTCGAATTCGTCCATTCATAACTGAAGAGGCTTGTAAGACTCTAGTTGTCGTTCCAGTTACATCAAGACTTGATTATGGAAATGCACTACTCTATGGAATTACAGAGACCAATATATCACGGCTACAGAGAGTATAAAATACGGCAGCAAGGATTGTCACCCGAACTAAGAAGCATGATCATATCTCCGAAGTCCTGATAACTCTTCACTGGCTTCCAGTTAAATTCAGAACATATCATAAGATCCTTTTATACACTTTCAAAGTACTCCAGGGAACATCACCATCATACCTAAAGGAACTCATGACAGTCTATAAACCTTCAAGGACTCTTCGCTCGTATGACTCTGAAGAACTTGTGAAACCTCGTGTTCACACGAAGACATACGGATCGCGTCATTTGACCATGCAGCAGCAACTTTGTGAAATGGTTTACCGAATGCTCTCCGTTTCCAGACGTCACTTTTAGCTTTAAACGGGATCTAAAAACTCATCGTTTTAGGATAGCATACGACGAGTATTTTCTTTATTTTGAACAAGGTATCGAGTTTATTGGTCCTCAGACTATTTATTTGGGCACAACCCGTATGGTGTGAAATTTTTAAGTTGATCTTAGTCTTGCAGCTAATAATTTTAGCTTACTTTTATGTTAGTAAGGATCTCGTACAATAGTTTTAGGTTTTATGTTTTTATGATTATTGTGTTGTATTTAACTACTTGTATATCTGAAATACTGTCTGTTCAGCGCATTAATATTAGAGAAATTTGTTTGTTCCTTTGATTCTTCTAAAGCTGTATGATATATTGATTGTATATGTTTATTGAATAACATGATTAAGGTTTTATAGTTTTTATGCTAAATTTCTTATAATTTGTTATTTCATTATATTATACTTTCATGTAAATTAGTTGAATCTGATTGGTCGAGAAACATTTGTTAAAGAACTCTATTTCCCTCTAAATAATGAGGCCCCGCCCTCCAACGTAGGAACAGTCAACAGTGCTTGACGAAGGGTGATATCCCAAAAAATAGCGACGGTGCAGAATTTGTGCGCGCACGGTTCCCTGTTATTGATTCCATCATAATAAAGAGACGGTCTTTTTCACACCAAAAGCAACGGCCTTGTTGTATATTTGACATCACCATCACACAAGTTTGTTACATTAATAAAAAAATCAATTAAAAAAAATATATCAACTAGTAAAATGATTGATTTAAATTGAAATTCTATTCATAATGTGATTTAGTGCATTTTCCTATATTTATTGATATTATTGAATTTTTTATTTTCAAAAAAGTGCTCGATAGACTTCAATGAATATCTATTTTAAAGGTACCTATTTCTACATATACATATTTGAAACACTCTCTTTGTATGAATCTTTTTCTACTGTAAAATGCTTCAAATGAATATCAAAGTATTATGTTTGTGGTGGATATATAAGAATAGGGATGGAAAAACTTGTGGAGAAAAAGCAAAATAAACATATAAAAGTCACCAGTGACAAGTACCCTTGAGGAATTCCTGAGGAATGATGTTAAGTTATGGGTGTAGTAAAAAGGAAGAGTATTTATCTATCAATGGGAACATAGGGTACAAAGATGATGCATGTAGTATTTTACCCAGTACCCATCTCTAAATAAAAGAAAATCTATGTGGTGTGTGATTGTGCAATCAGACAGAGCTGTCTAGATATATTTTATCATTCCGCTTCAGACAAAGTTAAAGGAAAACCTATCCATGTATATTCCTTGTAAGAACCTGATCATATACGTTATATGGGATATATTTTTGAAATTTTCATTTCACGAGCAACTAAGCCAGTCTTAGTCATATTAATATAGAAACAATCTTAGGTATTGTAGAATCAAGTTTGCTGAAATTATGACCCCCTTCAGGGCTCGGGGAACAATAGAGGGTCAGAGCTTTGCATTAGAATATATATTAGGAATCATCTTGAAAAAAATCTTCTGCTCAAGAATCACAAAGCCATGATTATTCATTTATTAAAGAATCATACATGTGAAGTGTAGCTTCATATTTTGACGGAAGCTGCCGCCTATTACAATTGCATTATTGACCTTCGACCTCTCAAGATGTCAAAGTTCATTTTTGCCCTTTTTCATGGTACTCCAAACGGATGTATCTTAAACTAAGGACATACAACCCACTAAATTATTCGACCCATTCCCAATGTTTATCGTTATTATCTTATCAAAAAGCGTGTGTCATGACGTATTTATTTTAACAATATATTTTGATTAATGTAAAAAAAGTCCAATAAAAATATAGCCTAATAATAGAATGAATAGTTACTTTAGTACTCCTGATAAGCTTCACATATGATTTTTTTTTTAAATTTAGGATGGGTAGATAGGACAACAATATAAAACAATCAGAGTTTTACGTAGGAATACATAGGGGGGTATTTTAAATTCTCCTGCTTGAAAACAGGAAAGCCTTGATCAATAATATTGATACAGAAGCGTCCCGAGGTAGTGTAAATTTAAGTTTGTCTCCTCTCCTTAAAACTTTTCAATACCGATCCGATTCTTCCTAGCCAGTGTTCTCAGGTGAGCGATGTGGTCCATGGGCCTCTTGTTTTATGGGGTGTGTGCTTGTTTTTTTCTGTTTTTGTTTTTGTTTTGGGGGGAATTAAAAGATTTGATAATATTTGGAAGTTCTCAAATTGTTAAAACAATCATTACTAATTTGAATTTACTTTCTTCATAAATTGCATTGAGCCAGGTGACGGAAGCTATTTATTACTTCATACAACTCACTTTTCATCCTGTCCCTTTCACTGTTTATTGGCAGGTATAGTAAATGTGACATCAGAGATAAAACGGCAGGGAAGCGGAGAAAGAGAGTCATGCATTTACACGGTGGAGAAACCAGGTAACACCCAACCCCCTGCACATGTGCTGATGGTAGTTTCCGTAGAAAGCTGTATGTAAATACCTTGCCTTTTACTAAACAGTAAAACTAAGGCACACTATTAACTTCTCTTTTCTTCTAATATAATGTCAAATCTTTATTTCCTTATGCCATATGAGATATCAGACATTAACATGTATAATAAACAATACATATATTCATATCTTTCAGTTATGTAATAAATATTTACAAACATACCAGGATTGTTTGAAAAGTTCGTGGACTTCTGTCGTATCTATTTTATTTGACGTCATATATAATCCAAATTAAGAAAGTATTTGAACAATGAATTCAAATGATTTGTATGCATTTTTTTTTATTTTACAACTTACCAGGTATTCAAAACTTATCCAGAAAAATCTGATTTGAAAAATGCAAAAAGCGGGTCGCGGAGCAAGTCAAAATTTAGTAAGTTTCAAACGACAGACTAGATAATGTCTGTAGTCATATTTTCTGTAAATTGGAGCAAAAACAAAAAACAATCTAAAAATTCAAATTTCGAATTGCGACATTGATTCGTATTCCAAATTGCGGTTAATATTTTGCTTTGTTGAACAGAACTCAATTTGAGAAGATAGGTAGTACTTATTGAAAAGACAAAAACGATGACGATTTAGGACGTCATTGAACAGCAGACAATGTTTTTTTTTGTTTTACTCAGGAAAAATCCTGAAAAAAACACTCTAAAACTGTTAGAAGATTGAAGAAAAAACTATATCACAAGCGATTTGTGCTATTGTGTACATTGAACATGCCGTATTTAAGTGACAAAGACTCTTTGTCGGATGAGGACAGTCTGTGAAGTTACGGTTAAACTGTAAAAATCTGAACAAAAACTTTAAAATGTTGGAACGTCAAGGGAAGACATAGGCTCTTCAGAGTTGCTTATCCTGTGAAAGCAAAGTTATGTAATAAAAGAAATAGAAACATTTAAAAGGAAATTATACAAAAGAGGAAAAAAAATACATGTCAACATTAGAAAAAGGATTTAATGACACGACATTTGATTATATTCTGTGAAATGTATATTGATATTATTCTTTAGGAATTCTTGAGGCTATGTTTTGACGTTACATATCCGTTAAGTGTGCTCCGCGGTTCCAAAAATGTTGATTTTAAACAAAAGTAAATTGATTTCCGTTTAAACGAATGGAATGAAACTTCACACATCGACAAAACATATAAATTTACACATTGTATTGTGCTTATTTCAAATTTTAAAAACAATTTAATAAATCTATTCTTCGTTGTGAAGTGCTGAGCAAAAATTTTCCCAATTTAGACATTTCTTTGACATTTTGAATGCTTAGCAATTGTATTAGCTTAAAGACAGTAGGTATTTTTTAAAACATAATACTGTTTAATATATTGAATTCTGATATCTTGATGTACAGGGCATTTTAATATGAAATGGAATCCATCTTCTCGTATATCATTTAAGTCACATAATAGGCATATTTTGTAATTTCTATTTTCATTAACATATCTACCTTCTTCAACCCATAATGTATTACTAGAGGGTCTAAAGCTTGTAATACACAGACTCAGTGTGACCTATTGCTATCCGTTTTCGCCCGTCGTCGTCCATCGAGATGCGTTGTGCGTTAACATTTGAACATTTTCAGCTTCCTCGCTGCAATCACGCAACCAGTTTAAACTAATTTTAGCATAAAACATCTATGGGTGAAGGGAAAGAAAGTTTCAAAGGATTTCATTGTACATCCCCCCTCCTGGGACCACTTCACTTTTCTTAAATTATTGTTTAGCTCAGTTTTAAAGAAATTAATTCAAGATGTTTTTATCAAACTTAATATGTTGATACATACTGATGAGAGCATCAACATTTTTTACCTTGACCTTCCCTTTGACCTAGACCTCATTTTTTTTCTAAATTGATGTCAAACTTCATATGCTGATACATACTTGTGTTAGCAATTCTACTACACTTAAATTTTTTACCTTGACCTTTCATTTGACCTCGACATCACTTTATCAAATTGTATTTAAGTTAGTTTTGAAGAAACCATTCATAACATTTTTCAAACTTCATATGCTGATACATAGAGATCTTTTCAATTGCATCAATATTTTTTGGTTTTGGCATTTCCTTCGACCTCAATTTTGTGAAATTAGTGTCAAACGTCATATGCTGATACATATAGATGTAAGCAATTCAACTGCATCTTCTGATCAAATTTCAACCACTAATACACATTTTCATGTTGCATTACTAATATACCCTCGACGGGACATTCATGTCCTCTGGACATATTTATCTATTTACAGATATTGGAATGGAGGGTGAAATCCTTGTGATACATAAAATCAGTCGGTACTGTGACGGAATCTACCAGTGCGTGGCCTCCAATGGTGTACCTCCAGCCGCAGAAATGGAAACCGCCGTTATTGTAGAATGTACGTACTGTTGCACAGGCATTTTTATCGTGTACAGGACACCCCTTCTTATCTTTATCACAAAGTACCTTGCTACATTTTAGTCACTTCAAGCGAGTATTTTATCAATTTATCAAACACTAACCTACTTAAATAAGAATTACAAATATGTAGTTCTTTTCTAGCGACAGTTTGCCTTTCAAATAATTTGCTCCAGACGCCCGAAACGTCGTTTACAGGGGCATAAAACTTTCCTCCTTCATCGAATTAATTTTTAACTTCAAGTATCACACTTCAACAAAGCCTCTACCAATGATTTGTTTCTAACACATATAACATATATTAAATAAAATCAAGACTATCAAACCAACATAATCTTTTCTGATTTTGTTTGTCAATGAATTACTTTTTAAAGTGAAAAATGTAAAGTCAAGATAGTATATAAATATGCTGAGCAAAATTTTAGCAATTGGAGATATTAAATATGTACCATGCCAATCCAAGATCTCAACATTGTATTGAGAAGGGACCTTTTTTGTGTGGTCTGTGGTGTGCGGACGGGCATTGTCTTGCTAGAAATGCTTGCATTTTCTCGACACATGAAGGGGACAACAAAAGTAATGACGATTTCATCACAGTATCTCTGTAAATCCAATGTTCCATTTAAAGTCACAAAGTCTGTTTTACCCTTATGGCTTATCCCATCCCACACCTTTACACTTCTGCCACGCAAAGGTCACACTGGATGATGTTTTCAGGCTCATTTCGGCGTCTCCAGACGAGAACTCTTCCATCTGCAGAACCGACGTTAAAACGTGACTCATCCGTAAACAATACTTCGTTCCACTGTCGTTGAATTAAGCGACGAACAAAAATCAAGATTAATTTTTTATTTCATTGGTTGAAACGCTGTTCAAGGCAAGGAAGATAACTTTCTGATGATATATAAATTTATAAAAAAATGACAAAACGAACAACAAAATCAGCAGTAATTAATTCTTAATAACATAGCGTTTTTACGAAATGTTTTCATAGCTAACATAGGGCCCATATAAGGCGGAATTGTCGATGACGTTGATTAAATGGTACTGCTTTGAGAGGTCTGCGAGCTCAAGAATTTGCTGAGCGTAGCCTGTTTTTAACACTTAACATTGCCAGTGGTCCAGAATCGGTTTGAAAGCTGACATATGGTGGACTGATGCACAATAAAGTCCCCAGCGACATCTTTTCGAGATCAGCTAGCGGTAAGCATCCAATTAGCTCGTTGACGCTAATTTTCGAAAATCCTGATCTTTTCCCCATCAGACATTTTTGCAATTTCCTAATGGTTGTCTTTTGCAAGCGTGCTTGCAAGGTTTTTAGAGAAACTAATTCTTCCCGGACCGTGTGCATTTGAGCATAACCTATTGTACTATTAATTGTAAATACGTTGGACGGCTCGGTTTCCGTACCCCATGTTTAGAAAACAAGTTTGCCTTTTGTTACCTTTATCTCCATTGTTTATGAGTGAAAACATAATAAAACATTTAAGAAAAAAATATTTTAAATCTATACCAAAGGAAAATCAATTGCTAAACTTTTTGCTCAGTATAATTGCAATTCATTTTACCTGAGTAGACTTTATGAGTTATTGTCAAGTTAAGACCTTTACGTCAGTTACTATATCCCCTGTAACTCTGTACCCAGGGAATACCGGTAACAAGGTAGACAATTATTTAAGTCGTATTTAGTTGTTTTTTATATTTTGTATATCAATTTACTATTTCCAACGTACTTTAAGCAATAATATCATTAGTTTTCCTTAGTGTCTAAGTAGAGATTTGATTCTCCATGTTAATGGACTCGTTATTCTGTCCATGATTGGAATATTTTAAGATAGTTAAAATATCTTAGTCGAACATACACCGTATCTCGTCTTATTGTTTAACAAACGAATTTAATACGGTATAAACTGGGCTTGGGCAGTTTACGCTTTATAAATCGCGAAGGATAATGACCCGTATTTGTGTAATAATGCTGCCCAGTAAAAGACCCTTTCCATTTGGCAGATCTCGGCTGATTCCGTCGTCTTCATCAAACAATAAGATAAACTACGAATTAGTCGATGTGTGCCGATTGAAAACCTTTAACGAAAATTACGAGACTGCTGCCCGCGCATGAATACAAATATTTCCGCAGGGCAATTTTATGTTTATAGAGTCTTGCGCTTTCGGTTTCATCGAAAGATGGCACGCTCTCGCTGCGTTGTAAAATGTTTGAATTGTGACGATCTAAAAGGAAAGCAGAAGAGTTTACGTTTATCAGGTAAGCGTTTCAAATATCTTTTGAAATTTTCTAAAATCCTGCTTGAATTATAATATTTCCTTACGTAGGTCAATCAATAGGAATACAAGTATAAATTGTTTTATATGGTTTTCATATTTTTTATATTTATTATACCACACAAAACAATTTACAAATGTGCCTTTTCATAAGGCGATAGTAAATAATAGTAACAAAGTTAACAGATATTTTGTTTATCTTATGTAAAGCATAAAAACAATGGTTTCTTAACTGTATATTATACCATCTAAGTACTTGTTATACCTTTATTAAAAATTTGTTTCTAAAAAAACTATATAAAAAGTATACCATTTTCAATTTTTTTGTCTCTGCTGGCGATTGAACCCGGGACCTTTGGCTTTCCAGTCCAGTGCTCTTCAAATTGAGCTAAAGGGTTATCCCACTAATCCAATCTTTCCGAGTGCCGACGTCTGTTGGGCGAAGTTCTGGAGGCAGTCACTCTCACCTGCCAAAGAAAACCTGGGTCCCAACGTGGACGCCAAATGTAACAGAGACAATTGAATAAAAACAAAATGCAGAAATGATTATCCCCAAAGAGGACCAATAATTGAAATTAGCGTCGGTCAGTCAACCGTGCGCCGACGTACTAAAGGAAGGAATTGTATGGAAATGTGGGTCCAAATTGAAAAAAAAAAAATGCACCAACAATGATTTGCCAGGAAACAAGTCTACAACATCTTCAACAAGAAGCTGCAACGTCTGTCTTCCCTGCATTTTGAGTTGTTAGGGCGGGGCTCTATTGATTATATGGTAAAAATACATTAATGTTTTAATCTTATTCTCTGCTCCTAGGTATTAAATCAATAAACCATGTTCATTGTTTTGACGTGGAAGGGTACTTCTTTCTAATTTGTGAATTTCAGGGTCCCTGGATCAGGGGTTCTGGTTTTAGGGCAAGGCTTAAATGATTAAATAGTGAACAATCATGAATTCTTTGAAAATCTTTTCCTTTGCTCCTGGTTAATTTTAACAATAAAATGCTTCCGTTGCTCGTGAGTACGGGAATGAATGTTGTAGCTGTTGCAGAAAAAATACATAACCTGCGTTAAGGTTACTCTGATCAACATCTAGATAGTAAGTAAGCATGCTATGCTATAATTATGATAATTAAGCAAAAGCTCCTTTAAAATTGTGAATATCATGTCTTTAGGTCAAAACAAGAACCAAATGCATTATTTTAAATTTGTTACATTATACTCTGGTGACTTATAAGGCCCTTAGGCCTCTTATTATTGTTCAATAGACGTTTGAGCTTAAATACTGTGCATGTTTTCTTATTTATTTCTTAAAATCACAAATTGCTAAAAATTGAATTCATAAATGGTTCTGTTTATCAAGACTTTTTTCCTGTACATGTTTTTCAGCCATAGAAAAGTGAAAGGGAGTAGTTTCAAATTCTGATCTCTGCTTCTTGTAGATTCCTCGCATACATTTAGGAATCTAGGTAAGGCATACTAATTTAACTGTTAATTTTAAAAGTGTTAAGTACAAAGTATTTTTAAATAAGCCAAATTTTATGTTGTATTTCGTCGTGTTTTTGAAGTTTAATTTTGAATCATTTTAACGGTTGGCCTTTAAATACAAGACAGGACAGAGCGTTTTGGTGTTTCTGTACGAGCCTTCCTCAGTAATTCACCACTTGGATTTGCCTACTTCACAAGGAATTGGAGAATCTTAATCACTTTCCTACCCTACAGAAATATGTAGAGTCGGGTATTGCGGGTGAAAACCATATTGCGATATATTGCAATATTTTACTTTGAATATTGCGATATATTGCAATATATTGTAGATTTATTATCATTAATAAATTCAATCAGAATGTTTGAAATGCTGTCAAGTTCAAAGTCTATTTGAATTTATCTTTAAGTTTTAAAGGGGGAGGAGGGATAAGACATTAGTTGCACACATAATTATATAACACTTTACTTTTAATGAAATACCAGGTAAAATAATAAAAACAAAATGACCCTCCTTGGAGAATTTTCAAATTGAAAAAAAGTTAATACAGAATATATAATCTTTTTTCATTTTCTTTTCTTTTGGGGGGGGGGGGGGTCTTAATGAAGTAGCATGAAATGTTATTCAAATTAAAACAGTACATACTATATGAAAAAAAAAATTATTGTGGTTACAGAATAAAACTAAAGCCAGAAAGAAAGTGTGACCTATTTTCGAGCGTTTTGGTGTTTTAGTCTAACCCGACCTAATTTCACATTATGACAAACGATCAGGAAATGGCCTATATATCTACTGGCTTAATATATATGCCCCTGGTATAGCATGAAGGTGTTTAAAATGGCATGAAAGTTATATAAAAAAAAATAATTAAAGCAACACTACTTCAAGAGAAAACACGGATGACCATTTACTTGTAATATGTACTGTACATGTATATTGAACTTGACATCTCACAATGTTGATCGTGTAGATTTGATGCGAGATTTTGAGAACCAGAGTGCAATATTGGTATACACCCTGGAGAAATGTTTTAAATATTATCTTTCTTATTAATTTTATTTTATATTTAATTATAAATTATATTTAAAGTAAGATGTTTAAAATTGCAACAGTGAATTAAACGCTCTCTCTTTCTTTCTTTCTTTCTTTCTCTCTCTCTCTCTGAAAGCTGACGAAGGATTGAAAAAGCCTGAGGCAGTTACAAGTATTATTTCAGCAGTTTCTACAATAAAGGAGGTTTTTATATATTTTTATAAATATCGTGAAATACCGGTATCTGATTTTCATATCGCGATATATTATTGAGGTGGATAATACCGCAATATACCGATATACCGGTAATATTGCACACCCCTAGAAATATGCTCGTTTGAAAAGTTCTTTTTAAAATTTAAGAGATAAAACATAAAACATTTTTGCACATAGATATCCATTGAGAAATCTTATAGTTAGATAAATCAGAATAAATCTTTTTTTCGTTTTAATACATACACGTTTAAACATTTTGATTGGTATAACTCGTTCTGGTGTTATCTCGTTTGTTTCAGAGGGTTTTGGTGCAAAGATCTAGGATTGGCAGATCATTTAGCCTCATCCTCTGTGTGATTTTGCTTATGGAAGGGGATGTCAAAGCAGACAAGGGCCTCTATACGAGAGAAAAAGGACTGCTGATAGAATATTATATCATTTTAGTCTTCGTCATGTCAGTTTTCTACTACAGATGTTTTTAACACTCACGATATAGATAAATAAACATGATTCATACAGAAAGGGCTGTAGGCCGCCTTAAAGATTTTCACATATTTGATGGTGTACTTTCTCTTTTCTCTCTTGCAGCTGACATCTTAGATATTGTCTGTCTACTACTGGTTTACCAACCTTGATGTCTCTGGTTGAAAGTAATCCATGGTGACAAATCTAGGTTAGTATCAATGTATCTGAAGTTATATTTTCATTTAACGTTTTCGCTTCATATATGCTATTTGAGCAATGCATATATAAACCCATATAAAATAATTGCTAAGTTATAAACAATCAATGGAATTTTACTGTAAATCAAAAGGTAAAGTCTATCACAGAATTAAACAAAAAGAGATTTATTTTAAGGTATTTTCATCTTCCTATGATGTCATGTTTCTGCAAAAACTTAATTATTTAAATTCATACCCTATAGAACAAAGCTTTTTTAAAGAATGCTTTTCAAAAGGTGTAATGATAAATATAGTTGAGATATAAAACGTTAAAAATGTATGTTTTCATTTATTTAATCAATTACATTGAATTCAATCTTTGAAAAATTGTGACAAGGGCAATAACTCCTTCTCAGGTATCTTCAGTCAGACATTTTCTTTTTGCACTTTTGATGTAAAACAGTTTCCCTGATATTCACATTTCAAAATTACCTTTTAAGTAGCAAGTATTTCGAAACATTTAGTATCAGAATTATGCATAAGATTTGGACCAGTTTTTACATGATATTTACAATACAATTTTTGTAAAAAATTACGATTTTTTAGCTTACCTGAGCTGAAAGCTCAAGTGAGCTTTCCTGATCATATTTTGTCTGTAGTCCGTCCGTCTGTCTGTCTGTCTGTCTTACCTTCCATAAACTTTTCACATTTTCAACTTCTAAAGAATTACAGGGCCAATTTTAACCACACTTGGTACAAAGCATGCTTGGGCAAAGGAAACTTAAAATATTGATATCATGGGTCAAGTCCCTTTCAAGGGGAGATAATCAAGAAATACAAAATTAGGATGGGATCATTAAAAAATCTTCTTCCCACTGGGCCAGAAAAGCTGAAACTTTTATGGAAGCATACTGAGGTAGTGTGCATTCTAAATTGTGCAAACCATGGCCCCGTGGGTAGGGTGGGGCCATATATAGGGAATCCAAGGGAACATACTGGTGTAGAAGGATATGTAGATAACGAACAGTATTCAAGCTCAAAGTCCATAAAACAATACAAAATAAGAGCAGAGCAAACACGGACCCCCGAAACAACAGAGGTGGGATCAGATGCCATAGAGGAGTGAGCATCCGCTGCCGACCGGTCACACCCCTCGTGTGCTCCTTGTCATGATCAGCAAATAACGGAAAAAATCCGTCGTCAATTCAGTGTATAAATAATGGACAAACAATTGGTATAAAAACGTCAGTCAGCATTTGACTCAATGATAAATTGTATTTGCTGACAAGGTCATTGTATAGACCATAGAACTTACGAAATGATGACTTTAAACGAGACTGTTGATATTCTTGATTCATCAACTTGTCAATAATTTACCTCGTTTAAGAAATTGTTCATATGTAGAGCATGCTGTTGTGTATTGAATCAACTGAGATATATATACTCCGTATGCATGTGATGAAGGTATATTGCTGCGTAAGTAAGGGAAGTTGACGATAGAAAAGTTATAATGTTTATCATATAGTTTGGTTGTTAGATTACCATTAGTGTCTTTTTCAAGTAAAATATCCAAGTATGAAACAGAAGTGTCAGACTCTGTGATTTCTTTTATCTCAAGCTCACCAGGATATATCGTATCGACATAGGAATGAAAATTACCATTGTTAAATGACAGTTCGTCGTCGATATATCTAAATGTCGAGTTGAAGGCCACAGCAAGTATTTTCTTCATTTCACGCATAAGATTTTGCATTTATTCTGCTTAGATTCTAAATTGTACAAATCATGATCCCCAGGGTAAGGTGGGGCAACAATAGGGAAAAGGAAAGTTTTCTTTTCAGGTATATGGGGGGAACCTTAAAAATCTACTTCTAATGCACAAGTGAACTAAAAAAGCTGAAACTTTAGTGGAAGCATTCTTGGGTAATGTAGATTCTTAATTGTTGGAATCATGACCAATTCGGAGAGTCAAGGTCAGGATCAAGGTCAAGGTATTACAAAGCGGGAAATCTGTTAAAATGACAGAATGGCGAAAGTTACTCATGTGAGAGATATGGCCCATGGGCTCTTGTTCATGTTGACGTACACTTCTGCTTATTTCTGTCTCCTGTCTTAAATAATATGGCGACCTATAAATCTGAATTTGTAAAATTTAAACTATAATGAATTCAGTTTTGTACTTTGAACCTTTTAAATTGTGAGGGTGGACAACCCCTAAGTTATAAGTATTTTAATTATAATACTACTGAGTTTGAATTATCACAAATTTTACCAAAATAATACAATTAAGCTTTCACTTCACAAAAGGCTTGATGTAAAACAATTCATCTTGCTAATTCCTCTTTGCCACCCGAGCAATATTCAATCGTTTAGTTATTGACCTGTTTTATTTGCTATTCCTTTGGTCAAAACAGAATCACTCGCCTATGTTCTGTGTCATTCTGTTCCATGAAGACTTTGAATTTCATACTGATGAATTGAGGTCTTTTATCGATTACAATATGTAATTGTTAACGATGTGTTTCGAACATCCTGTAAACACTTTTTTAGCTCACCTGAGCCGAAGGCTCAAGTGAGCTTTTCTGATCAAAATTTGTCCGTTGTCTGTCGTCGTTGTCGTCGTTGTAGTCGTTGTCGTAAACTTTTCACATTTTCATCTTCTTCTCAAGAACCACTGGGCCAATTTCAACCAAACTTGGCACAGAGTATCCTTGGGTGAAGGGAAATCAAGTTTGTTCAAATGAAGGGCCACGCCCTTTTCCAAGGGGAGATAATCATGATTTAGAAAAAAAATTATTGGCATTTTTAAAAAATTTTCTTCTCAAGAACCACTGGGCCAGGAAAGATGAAACTCTTGTGGAATCATCCTCAGGTAGAGTAGATTCAATTTTGTTCAAGTCATGATCCCCGGGAGTAGGGCGGGGCCAAAATGGCCGATCAAAGTTATACCTTGGAATATATTGGAAAAATCTTTTAAAAATCTTCTTCTCAAGAACCATTGAAACAGGAAAGATGAAACTCATGTGAAATTATCCTCAGGTAGTGTAGATTCAAGTTTGTTCAAGTCATGACCTCCGGATAAGGGTGTGGCCAATATGGCCGACCAAAGTTTTACATAGAAATATATAGGGAAACCTTTTTAAATCTTCTTTTCAAGTACTTCAAAGCCAGGATTAGTAATATTTGTATGGAATCATCCTCAGGTAATGTGGATTCTAGTTCGTTTAAATTATCGCATGTGAGTTAAGGCTACATATGGAAATTTCTATACAAAATATCTAATTAAAAGTTTTACCTACCGCACAGAAAAGTTTTCTAATACATCTTGGTACCCACGACATGCAATAGCCAGTACACATTATGACGTCATATTAACCTGACCTGTACTAAACAAATTTGTTTTCAACAAAATTTACTTCAAACTTTGTTTTACAGAAACATGGTATCAAAAGACACAGGATATTCCAAGGATTTTAAATATTGCTGCACAAATGTCGGCAGTGTAGTTGGTTACTTACTATTCGTGCAGTTTTAAGTTTTAACAGGGTAAAAATTCACTGTCCAGGGTAAGAAAATTTTTATCAATTGAGAAAGTGCATAAGATTTGTGCAGCAATTTTATTAATTTTAAGAATATTCACCTTAATATTATACATTGTTTATTTTAATTTAGATAGGATAGGCCCTTGCGCCGACGTGATTTTGTTAATATGATTTAATACCATGAATGGGAGAGAACAATGACGTCATAATATGACGTCATAATGTGCACTTGCATTAATAAACTGTGGGTACTGAGTATGTATCAGAAAATCAATTTGAACCTTCTCTGTACATAAAATATACAAATTATGAATTTTCATTAGCTTATTTGCATAAAAATATCCATATTCAGCCTTAACTCACTTGCGATGATCCCCTTGGGGGTTAAAATTCAAGCCCCTCCCCCCCAACTTAAATTAACTTTCAGTTCTGATCTGATATGTGTTTTTTCCTAGCTGATGTGTCAGGTGAGCGCTGTGGCTCCTGGGCCTCTTGTTATGATTTTGTCGGTTGTGGTCTTCCTCGGGATTTCAACTTCAACATATCTTCTATAATCTGACACTTCAAATTAGATTTTCTCCTGATGATAGAGGTCCAAGTAAATCTGCGTCAAGTAACTGCCATGTTTCTTTTGGAAATTCAGTACTCTAAACAGACTGTGTACTGGATATCTCATGGTTAACCTTACATATGTAATCGAGAATATTCCTCATCAGTATGGAATTCAAAGTTTTCATTGAACAGCATGAAATAGAATATAAGTGAATGTAGAATTGGTTTCAAATTTATAGACATTTAGATATATCGACGACGTTTAATTAACGATTAATTAAATTAAAATTTGAATGATGAATCAACGGAGACCAAAGAATTGTCAAAAGAGTTTCTTCAAACCAAAAAAATGGGTTAGATAGACTAAAAATTTGACTTCACAGAATCCATAAATTGTTATTAGAACAATAGTTGCCTTCCTAACTTGTATGTGTTTCAAATATAATTTTGAACTTCAATACTTGACTTGATCGATAAAAATTTAAAAATTACTTCGATGAACGTTAAATTATTATATGGTTTAGTTAATCAAAATGTGCTAAACATAAATAATTATGTGATAATAAGGTCGATTCTTGAAGCTTTAATTCTATAGAAAAAAATACAAAGACATTGTATCAATAATTTTATGCCTTCACAGAATCCAGAACTACAAGTACAATATCTCCAGATAAGCCACAGTCACAGCCGAATGCTGAAACATCAACTCAGTATACACCGATGTCGAAAGGATCTATTCACAATCAAGATTTGGGTTTGAAATAGCATTCTTTGATTAAAAAGCATCCTTATATTGCTTTTAAAGTGTTAAAATTTTCATCAAACATTATTCCTCCTGGTTTGTGATTCATATATAAAAATAAAGGTTTTTATATTTAAATATTTAAAACTAATATCTAAAACATTCCTACATTTACTTATAAGAATAATTATCTATTATTAGTAATTTAATCAAATTCTACCAAAATTGACACAATATTGGATAAAAAGGATAATTCTAATAATTTTAATTTCTATATCAAAATTTTAAATCTCTATATAAAAATTAAAAAAAAAACAACTTTTAATTCTTTCTTTTTATTATGGGGTGCTCTTGTAGGCTCCTTGCAAAGTAAGAATCTTCAGAAGAAGCCAATATCACCAAACATAAAACTGAGCACTGACTCGTCCACTACTGAATCTATACCGATGTCCACTACTGAATCTATACCGATGTCCACTGCTGAATCTATACCGATGTCCACTGCTGAATCTATACCGATGTCCACTGCTGAATCTATACCGATGTCCACTACTGAATCTATACCGATGTCCACTGCTTAATCTATACCGATGTCCACTACTGAATCTATACCGATGTCCACTACTGTATCTATGCCGATGTCCACTGCTGAATCTATACGGATTTCAACTGCTGAATCTATACCGATGTCCACTGCTGAATCTATACCGATGTCCACTGCTGAACCTATACCGATGCCCACTACTGTATCTATACCGATGTCCACCAATGAATCTACACCGATGTCCACTACTGTATCTATACCGATGTCCACTGCTTAATCTATACCGATGTCCACTACTGAATCTATACCGATGTCCACTACTGAATCTATACCGATGTCCAGTGCTGAATCTATACCGATTTTCACTGCTGAATCTATACCGATGTCGAAAGTCAATCAGGAAATTGGTTTGAAAATTAATTAGTTGTCTCTGAAGTTTTAGAGTGTTTAAATACCTACAGCTTCCTGTATGGAAAAGATCAGTATTAGTAGTATTTATGCTTATTAATTTGTATTATTGTCAAATTTGCTGAGTTATACTAATTTACGACTGTTTGAAAATTGTAATTCATCGTTATAATCGTCTACAGTGATTCTGATGGCGGGAATCGGAGTGGTAGAAGTTACGATAATAATTGTGGGTATCCTAGTAGTCAAGCGATTTCGACAGCAAAGGTAAGAGGGAACATCAGAATCAATAACCTTTTTATCTTATTTCAGAGACTTTGAATTTCAATGGAAAAATATGACAACTTATTATTGTTACATGTAGTTCATAAAAACATTGGTAAGAAAAACAACAATCAAAATAAAAATACAGTTTTTATTTTTTACTTTTATAGAAAAAGCACAATGAAAAGAACCTCAAAAGAAACCAATGATGGTCGACCTGTCTCCAGAAAAACAGTTTTCGGTATTGATGACATATATGACACCATTCCATTTGACGAGAGCCATGAAATCCATATAAAGATCTCTCTGAAGGGTGTACGATACAACCTCAAAACGCCGATCTCATGTCAATGGGCAGAGGAGTAATTATTCCAGGGGAAGTTTCTTTTTACATTTGTTTCATAAATCAAACCTCAACGAAAGAAAGTCAATAGAAGAAAACATTCCAATGTCTTTGAAGAAGGAAACGATTCCAGTGGTTTAAATTCGCCTGGAACAGCTGTTTAGGCGAAAAAAATATTAAGAGAGAATAATCAAAGTACTCAGAAGTACAGAGAACCGGGCTTATTTACAGAGTAGAATGGATTTCTTACATGAATCACGTTTATATTCTGATGAAAAAGTTATTTTAAAACTATCAATATAAATGATAGGACACTGACAGTGAGTTTTTCAATCCTAATACCACGGTCCGATTTTGTCAGAATCAGAATTAATCTGGTACCGCAGCTGAATGTAAACAAACAGGCCAGTCTGGTTCCCTCTCCTGCTTTACCTCGTATGTGTAGAGAACTACGGTAACACTGATTATCAAAAATACTTACGCTAATGAACTATGTTCTTTGACTTATGAAGTTTTCAAAGTCATTACTACTAAAGTTTATTTTATATAGATAAAACTTGGTTTTATTTTTGTTGCTTTAGTTAGCGTTTGTATTATCTCAAAAGCGGTTGAGAGTAAGAACTATATTTTTGCACGTAACTTTGAAATGGCGACTATGGGGTTAACATCCTGCCTTGAACAGGATCACATAAGCCGGCAATTGCTCTCTGAGCAATAAGCCCGGCTAAAAAGAAGGAAGACGTTTATGCGATTCTAGAATGCGTATCAATAATGTCAGATTAGAACGGAGCGTTGGAAATTCACCTTAATTTGTACACCTTTTTTGGCTTTTAAATCACCCTGCAATTGTTATAGACTATTGTGTAAACATGTTACCTTGTGATTCTTATGTTTTAATATGTATTTTCACATGATTTACTTATACATTCTTATGTTATATTGTTAAAACTAGCTAAAAACTAGCGAATCCCACAGTCATTTGCTCAAGAAGTTGGATTTTGTTTTTCTTGAATCTTTCTATTAGTAATGTAGATTATTACTAGTAAATTTATTAGATACTTCATCAATAATTAACAATATAAAAAAAAACTAACATATTCGTTAAAAGATGTAAAAATTAATAAAGCTACCGGTCTAAGACGTAATGGGTTTAAATATACTTCGTTGTTTTGTTTGCTGCTTAAAATAGTTATTTTCCAGAAACGTGAGTGTGCTTTGTATTTATTGTTATTTATAATATCTTTACTAGTCTCAGAAAAGCTGAAAACCTTATTTGATTTTTCATCGATTATAATTACTATCCTGTGGATGAATCTGTTTATCTGTCAGATATAAATCAATGAATATATTTATACAAAATATTTTTTCATTGTAAATAAATATTTTCATTCTGTATCATGCAGTTTGATCAGTATATTTGATCTGTATTTATTTTGCTATGTATATCTCTTTTATTTGTAATAGTCAAGAAGGAGGATTTGAAGAAGGAACATGTTTCAAAATCATAAGATTAACAATACTCATACTGTATTAACCGTATTCCATAAAACATATCTACCATATTTGCATGTGAACATGTAATACTGAAAAATAAATCTAACCAAACAACAAATTAATTGATAGCTCCATTTGTTTTTTTCCTACTGTACAAGCTTGTTTAGTTTTTGTTTGTTTGCTTTATAACAGCAAAATATATAGACGAGATGTATAAACACGGTATGGATGTTGAAAAAATTATTTCTGAGCATAGTTTTCCATTGTTAAATCTACAGTTATATGGATGACGACGTACAAAATGAAATTCAATATTATACATTCAATTTTCTTGACATAGCTTTTTAGTTTTTATTCTTTCCAGTGAAGCAGCCACATGGATGTTATATTTTTTAAAATATTCAATGACCAGCAATGCTAACCGAATTTATACTTATATTTGTGTCCAAATATCAGCCCTCTACTACTAATGGAACAAAAGTTACACTGCAATTACTAACAGACCGTTACATGCTTGTTTATTACATTTGGATAGTGCAAACTCATTCTAGAATGTAAGCTAACAAGGATTCTCTAAAAAAAACAAATTCACAAAATATGACAAAAACATGCCACAACTTATTTTTCTTACAGGGGTAATTCATTGTTGAAAATATTGTAATATTATTTTTTTTTAGGTCACCTGAGTAAACTCAGGTGACCTATTGCTATCCGTTTTCGTCCGTCGTCGTTCGTCGTGCGTCGTGCGTTAACATTTGAACATTTTCAGCTTCTTCTCTGCAACCACTGAACCAATTTCAACCAAATTTGGCACAAAGCATCTATGGGTAAAGGGGAACAAAATTTGTGAATTTCATGATCCCTACCCCCCTGGGGCCTGAGGGGTGGGGCCAAAACCACTAAAATTAATGCAATCTTCAAAAATCTTCTTCTTTACTCCTGGACATCAAGCAGTCAAACTGTTTGCATGATTGTAATCAGCAATGAGTCCTCTACCAAAGTTGTGAAATTCATGGCCCTGGGGGTCAGGGGTTCTAGTGCTAGGGCGGGGCTAAATAAGTAGGTAGTGAAAATGCATTATTTCTTTGAAAATCTTCTTCTCTGCTCCTGGGTATTAAATAAACCAACTAAGTACATAGTTATGATGAGCAAGAGTGCCTCTACCAAAATTGTGAATTTTATGGCCCCAGGGTCAGGGGTTCTTGTTTTAGGGTGGGGCTCTAATGATTATATAGTGAAATGCATGAATTCTTTGAACATCTTATCCTTTGCTCCTGGTTAATATGCTAATGATCTAATTACATATTGAAGGCCAGGATTTATTCTATCTTCAGTTTTACAAACCCTCCGCTCAAGATTTTGAATTTTCAGAAAAAAATAAAAAATTTCTTTCCGATGTCAAATTTGAGTCGGGATCGAGATATCAAATTTACGAACTCGCACTTCCGGTTTTCTGAAACGGCGGGTAAATAAAGCTAGATCTAGATAGCTTGGTTTAGTGTAAAATTCATCGATAAGAGTGCCATTCAAAACGTTTACCCCGTTCAAAGGACAAATAAAATGCTGACGACTTTGTTGCACAATGACATGCTGGTGAGATAATTATGTATTCGTTTCAAAAGTAACTGTAATTTTTTTCCCTCCCCCATGTTTTAAACTGCCCGTGGTAGCTATTGCATATTGCCAGGGATATTGTTTAGGTCTCTGTTATAGCTTACAGTCTAAGCATCATTCTTCAGAAAAGGGTTGCTTATGCATCAGATGTAATGAATAAAACTATGGGAGAAGTGAAGTCCATTTGAGGAAGAAATAAACAATAACCTGAAGAAATTAAAAAAAATCAACTATTAAAAGGCAAGAATATACAAATATATACAGGCATGTAGTATCATTTGTATCAGCCAGAAAAATTATTTTACACTTAATTGAAAAAATGCTGACTCTACTCCCCAATACTCCCTGTCTGTTTTATGATAGGAATTATAATTTTAGGCATCAAGTAAATTTTAGAACAATGTCTACACATTCACCTAACACATATTTAAAAAATGAAGATATATTGAAAGACTTTTAAAGAATTGATTTATTAGAATAAACTTTGATCAACATCACAAAATTTATATAACTGGCCCAAACTGGCAGATGATGAAATAAGCAATTAAATGTTCTACTTTCCTATTTGTAAGCATTATGTGTCCAGTGGTAAGGAGCCTATTAGGAAAGTATAAAAAAAGAATGTACAAAATAATGTTAATAATTGATTTATCAAAAAAAAAAATTATTTCCTTCTCCTTCGGAACATTTTTATTCTCATGTTCATAACTAAACCTAAACATAAAAACTAATGCTGGCTTTATAATGAAGAAAGGGGCCTCTTTCAAAATAGATAATTTCAAGGTTGCTGGGTCAGGGATACCAGGGGGGTACTTTGACTAAAAATGAATTAATGCTTTGAAATCTGCCCTTTGATAAGCAATGGTGCCTCTTTCAAAATTTGTGAATTTCATGGCTTTTGGCTTAAAACACGAACCAAATACAATCGCTGGAAAGTTGTTACATGATACTCAGGTGACCTATAAGGCCCATGGGCCTCTTGTTCCCCTGTACTTTTGAAAGAAATGAGCTCAAATAGAATTTTTAGAAGTTTTGTTTTTCCAAAATATTCTTGTAGAAAAAAAAAAGATTTTAAAAAGTAAGTGAATGTCTGACTGTTTAAATAAAATAAAAGTTATTGTTCAACTGTACACATGTGATTTTGTTTTCAAGAAAATCTTAATGCATGAAATTTCATAGTGACATTTTAAATAGAAGATGGAAAGTATAGAAATAAGCGTAGTATGTATGTGAGAATGAATATTAGTCAGCTTTGGCAACAAATAATTCATAAATAATTTCACTAAGATTACCTCTTGTACGAAAAACTGTGACAAAGAACTATATGCGGTATTAACCAACATTTGCCCCCCAAAATCAAACTTTGATGGAGTAATATTTAATTAAGTCCTTAAACAGGGGAGTATATGCTGACTTCAAAGCACTGAATAATTTCATAAGTAATGACGTCATATGTACGTAATGACGTCACAAATATGACGTAAATTTCAGTTTTTTATGAATTTTGCAGAAAAATGTACATATTTCGTCGATATTTTAAATAAAAGTCACCGAGCGCATGTGTGTTCAGGATTAATATTTTGATATAATGTGTAGAATGATAATATCAATGAAATATGTCAATATTATTCCTGAACACACATGCGCTCTATAAATTCTAAAGCTTAAATTGTTGAAATTTTGTCCATTTTGTCCTCTTTCTGAAAAAGGATATAAAATCGGACTAGTTTGTGACGTCATAAAAACAGAAATTGTGAATACACTGCTCTGGAACTATAATATTTTCTGTTAACTTATATTTCTCGTACAATTTATTGAATTCAGCACATTTCAGGAAGTTTTCAAAATTTGACTTTTGTGGGGGCAAATATATGCAATATACCGCATATAGTTCTTTCAAAGCAGATTTTCATGTATGTACCATTACATACAATGTATGTAGTGCGATTTATAAATGTTTGTTTAAATGTAATAATTCATTGAAAAAATTCTAGAATAAGTTAATATTGAAGGTATTTATACCGAGGAAGTGTGAGTTTTGTTTCCTATGCCCTGTTTAAGGCTACATGAGATGTCACGTATAAGTATTACATTTTTAACAAGGCCTGGTGGTTTATATTACAAATGTGTACGAAATAAAAAGGAAATAAGGTCCGTGTAACACTGAATAATTCAAATTGCTTAAAATGTTTCGAGTTTTAGAATTTGAATACTTCAGTCCAATTTTCCTTATTTCAAAAGCCCGGATTAATTCAGTGTGTAAAAGTTTGATGTTTTAGTTTAAAATTTAATGTTAAAATTTACAAACAAGATTTAAAGGGATCTGGGTATAGCTGCTTTGTTTAGATTCAAAAATTTTATTTATCTTTTCAGAAAAAATTACATCAGTTTAATCATTTGCATTGAACATGTCAAATGAATAGTCTAAGAATTTATTGGCAATGGTATTCTTCATAATGTCACAGCTCGCTCTGTGTTCGGAAGGGTGTACGTATGTCCCTGGCCACTATCTGAAGTTTTGATGAATATATTAAAACGTTTGCTAGATACTATTGTCAAGAATGGAAATAGCGCCAGTAAACTAATTTTTTTTTTTGGAATCTCAGACACCTGACATCGTTCTACGGACAGCGGACTGAAACAATAGGCGACTTTCGGAGACCGTTTAGAAATATGTTTTACAGCATGTTTACCGTGCAGAGAATTTTTTACCAACGAAAATAAATCTCCCTTTATCTGAGGAGATAACGATAACGTCCCCAGGATATCCTTGGAGAAACTATGAAAGGGACACAATTTATACATGGATGGTGACAGCACCTGACGTAACAATGGAAATAAGTGTCAGGATAGACATGGATATTGAGGAAACACGAGGGTTCCCATGTTATGACTACCTACAGGTTTGATATTAGGTGTAATATTTTAGTAGGTATATATCGCAGGTGAAGATTTTTTAAAATGTTCAGTACTAAGCAAAATATATATTGGAGGCTCTGAATTGCAAACTATAACAAAATATAAAACAACAAATTTAAATGACTAATAACTACAGATTCAGACTCTTTAAACAATGAAAGAAAGTAATAACGTATGAAATTTCAATAGATTCAAGACATCAATTACGACAACTTCACAATTTTCAAACAATGTGGAAAACGAACAACAAATAGAGTAGCATTTGGTAACAAACTAAGGGTCACTTTCTACTCCAACGACGACATATTTATAGCTAAAGGTTTTCGACTAAGTCTTAAAGGTAACTATTTTTATCATCTGTCCATTTCTAAACATTTCATAAAAAATAAAATTAAAAAATAAAAGATTGATAAAATTGAAATTCTGATCTACATTTTATATGTAGATATTTTATTTCATATAAAAAAAGAAAGAATTTGTTGAAAAACATTTTAATATAATCCTATCAACACAATTTGTGTCGCGGATCGGAGCTTGAATATTGGGACGCCATATTTTTGAAGAATGTCACCAAATTGCTTTTGAAAGCCGAATAAGGTTGATATAGAGAGATAGATGATTCTTCTGCTAGTCTGGCTACATAATGTCCT